ATAGCATGCACAAATGGCATCCAGAATTCACATCCAGAATCAGCATCACCATGGTGGAAACCCAAAATATATGGATAACAAAGCAATATGTCTTCATTTAGGCCATCAGGTTTGGCTTAGAGTACATGTTACCAAACATAACAATGTCTTAACTGGGGCCATCAGGTTTGGCTCAAATTACATACATAAAATGGCTACTACTGGAAGCCAAAGACAACACATCCCAACAAATCCAAAATCATCAGGTTCAGCTCAAAATGCCTGAGCCAGTCACTCAACAACCTCATCCATCAACAGCTGCTTCTTGGCCTTCTTGGTTTTTTAGACGTCGTTGCCTTGTTTGCCTTCTTGCGTTGTCCACATGTTGATTCAAAGACCTTCTCCTTCCATCTTCCTCTTGCGGCTATATGAATTTTAGAAACTTAACTAGTTAGCTTGGTAAATTACATAGGAACTACAAGTTCAAAGACAGTGAGATGTATTACCTCCTAGTGTTACCAGCAGGACTGTTGGATAATAGTGGTGGTGCTATAATGGTAATGGAACATGCTCCAGTCTAGGATTGCTGAGTTGATGCAGTACTTGTAGCCTTTGCTTTCTTGTTTTTCACTCTTTTTGGCTTAGGTGGGGCATCACTGTCATAAACTCTCATTGTAAGTCTTCGTCATGTGACCAAATTGGCCACACCTTTTGCACTTCATTTGCTTCCCAGTGGCTTTTCCTCCTTCTTCTGCACCCTTAATTCTCCTTGATCTTGGTCTACCAACAGCCCTCTTCAACACAGGTGGCCACAGTTTTGAACCCCATGTCCACCTCTCGGCCATTGGTTCCTATCACCATAGGCATTATAATTCTGCATAGGCCTTTCTAAACATTTCCACAGAGTAGTAGGGATCCACATAGTCCTCAACACTTCTATTTCTAAGGAAGTTAATGAAACAAAGGGCATGGATACATGGTAGTCCAGTGATCTACTACCTATTACAAGTGCAGGTACTGTTATCTAGATCAACTGTGTGCCTCCAAGTCTTCAGCTCCTTTGTTGTTCCCTGAATCTCAGCTATGTTGTTGTGTCCCTTATGGATGACATACTTCAGGTTTCTACTCCTTTCATGCAGTTCTTTGGTTATGTGAGGAAGGATCTTGTCCTTCAGCTTGTTGGCTAATGTCCTTCTAAGGTCCAGCTTCTCTATGATCATCTGCCTGATTCTATCCATCAGTGGGATGATAGGTTGTGCTTTCTCTTTCCTGATCCAACTGTTGAATGTCTCAGTAATGTTATTTGTCACATAGTCACACTTGCTAGCAGCTAAGAACCTCCACCTATTCCACAAATGTTTGTGGTTGTCCTCTATCCATTTTATTGCATTTGGGGATGCTTTCTGCATTATGTTGTAATGATGGTCATAGTGCTTCTTGTTATGTGCTCTACAAGCAGGCCACAAATGCTTCTTGAAAACAACCCCCCTGTACCTATTTTGAAAGTTGTTAACTAAATGTCTCATATACTCCCTGTGTTCCACACCATTGGAGAACACATATGTCACGGCACTATCTATGCCCTTTCCAGCATCAGTTGATATGACAAGACCTAGGGTGAACCTATGGCGGTCTGAAGCTTCTCAAAAAACCACTTCCAATTCTTTGCCGACTCTAACTCAAATACACCATAGGCTACTAGGAAAAGCTAGTTGTGCCCATCCACTACTGAGGCTGATGCCAGTTGACCCCTCCACCTTCCTATCAAAATCGTGGAGTCAACACCTAAAAGGGCCTACAACCATTAAGAAATCCATTTACACAAGCTTTCAGTGCAACAAACATTCTAGTGGACCTAATCTTCTTTCCAACCCGAGCATACTCTATATCTACTATACTCCCAGGGTTGGTCCTCTCTACCTCCGCCTTAAAATGAAAAGTATCAACAAAACTGTCTTCCCACTTGCCCATTAACTACTCCAGAGCCATCCTTCTTCCATCCCATACAACATAATAAGATAACTTGATTCCAGCTCTTTCAATAGTGCAACAGCTCTTGTATTTGGCTCATCCCTTAGAGTGTTTATGACTGTGTCTCTAACCCAAGCATTGGTAGCCATGCAATTCTGGTCAAGTTTGGCCGTGCTAGCACAATTGTGCTTGTCATGAAGTTTTTTTATCTGCAAAAACAAAAAAAACAGTAGGCAATACTATCAATATTTATGGTCAACAAATTAAGTAATCAAAGAGATTATGAACAAGAAAAACAAAGGCAGAAGCAGGTTTGGACCTGCCAAGACTTGCCATCCTGTAGCTCTGAAGCATGGATCCTCACCTGCACTTCTTAGTTTTGCTCGTTTTACCCTTGCAGACACCTCTGTACCTTTTAGACTCACTGTAATGGGCGGCAATTTCAAATTCATGCAGAACAACATACTGCCTTATTGCCCTCTTAAATGTGTCTCCATCTTCAAATGTAACACCAATAGCAATGGTTGGGTTCTCTAGATCTGTCACGTGTTCTAAGATCTCACAACCAGCCTCATCATCAACATAAAGATCATCCTACTCATTGTAGTCACCATCAGATTGAACCTCATTCTCTGAGTGTTCTTCAACATCAGACAGATAAGGATGCTCATCATTTAGACCAACATATTCTATCTCATCCTCATCCCATGGTCCCTCATCAGCAACCTTTTTGCCTTTCTTACACCACTTGGACTTTCTTGCCCCTACATTATTAGCTTGCTCACTAACTGCCCCAACCTCTGGGCCACCAGGATGAACAATAGCAACATCAACATCAGGCTGAACATCAACAATAGGATGAACAACTTCCGAAGGAATGAGAGCAAGGGCACTAACATTTCCCTGGGATACACAAGGTTCCATTGAAACACTCTGGCTGTACTCCATTGTCACAGTGTCATAAACATCCACATACAGAGGCACCCTCCTCATATCCCAATATAGGTCCATTGCTTCCATCAGCAGGATATCAGATGATAGACTACAGAACTTAGACATCCTCTTGTTCCAGAAGGAAATGGACATTCCCTGATTCGTCCCAAGCTTCATTCCCGTTGTTATTTCATCTGTTATATCCTTCACATTGGTTCTATCTCTATCCACAACAAGGTTCAGATAGTTGATTGGGTGTACTGTAGTGCTACCATCATCTGTAACCTCAGCATAGTTTGGAATGCGCACATAAAGTCTGCACGCCGAACTACTATCCATCCTAAAACAGAGGGACAACGATTCAAGAATCAAAACCTAAATCTGACGCCGCCAAATTGCGCATCTATGGTACCAAATCAACAAGACAACCGAAACCCTAGATCAAAGAAATTGCACAAAAAAGGGACAACAATCTTACCCTTCGGGTACCCAAGACATATTCAAGCCCTTGGACGGTGACCCCACGCTTGGGGACATGCGCTTCTTCCCTCTCAGTGATGACATCTTCAAGCCCTGTACGATTGGGTCTTCATGGAGAACGACGGCTTGTGAGACGAGACTGGGATGCAGAGAGGAGGCCGCGCAACGGAGAGGAGGGCGGCCTTCGAAGACGAGGATTGCGAGGACGAGGGCGGCGGGCGGCTCAGTGGGTGGGGGCCAGCTGAGGAGTGGCAGCGGCGACGGCGGCGAGAGTGAAGGGACCGAATGGCCTAGTCTAGGTCACCCCCAGATGGGCTCGAGTGGGTAACGGGCTGGTCCAGGGGCAACCATAGTCATTTCAAAATGTTCTCTCTCCAATTCCAGCGAAAATGATATTTTAATGGAGGCGGTGTGCTACAGCCAAGGATCCCGTTTTTGTGATGGTGCTCAGCTAATACTGGAGTTGGCGGTGTGCTCTAGCAAAAAAACACGAATCTACAATGTCCCACGCCAAAATTTGCCAAAAATAAAATACATGCAGCCACGGACGGTATTGACTGGTTTTGCCCGGTATTGACCGATATTTGACCCGGTATAGGATTGCGGCTCTTCTATACCGGTCAAGGTGCTGGTACGAGGCATTCCAGCTGGTACAGGAATGAAATTTACAACTATGGTTGGACTCCCCCGAGAAAATTAGGTGCATTTGGGATGTTTTAGTCTTTGTACAGCTTTAATGGCCATTAGTCTCTCGATCCAAATAAGGTAGGGACTAAAGTTTAGCTTAGGGCCTACACTGGTCCAGAGACTAATAGATCAACTTAATTCTATGACCGGAGCAACAAAGGTTGTGATCAAGTGCGCGTTACGTCTCCAGAAAATGTACATTTTAATTTAGATATACAATCATCTTCCGGTCGTTATTAGCTATCAAAAGCATGCTAGGTTGGAAAAAGAAACTGCAAGTATTGCATGCTAAATTTAACAACTCAAGTAGTGTCGCATAAGATGGAATGGTTTTAATTTTTTGAAGGCGTATCGTAAATGAATCGGAGCGCTAGCACATGCATGCTTGTCAAAAAAAGAAAAAAGAAAAAAGAAAAAGAAGAAGAAGAAGATGGCATGCAAATTGCACATAATTTTTTTTCCCAAACTATGGGCTTGCATTGGAATGCTTTTGAAATTAAGAGCAACCCTATATGGCAACTGTTAAGTAGTACAATTTACGTATGATTGTGTAGCATATGGCTGTACTACGTGAGATATATTCTTTTTCTTAAAACTTCTTGTTGTAGCTGAGGGTCAGTTCTTTTTCTCCTCTAATCTGAATTAGGCCTTGTTTAGTTGCACCAATTTTGCTGAGGATTCATCACATCACATCACATCAAATTTTTGCTGCATGGAATATTAAATGTTGACAAATTTTATCCTCTAATTATTACTAAAAACAAACGAATTAGTACAATATTTCGTTTCCATTTCTCCTCCAGCCGTTATACAAATAATAAAAAAAGCCCTTTAAAGCCATGCTCAGCACACAAGGTCTGCCTGCCTTCCTCTATTTAAACCCTCTCCGCCCCCCGCTCTCAAAACCCACACCATCCAGCCTTCCCACCTCCCTCCCCCACGCCGTCGCCATGGACGCCACCCTCAGCACCACAACCCAGGACTCCCTCCTCTTCCTCTTCCCTGCCGCCGCCACCTTACTCTCCCCGCTCCTCGCCGTGCTCCTCGTAGCCCTCTCGCTGCTCTGGCTCTACCCCGGCGGGCCCGCGTGGGCGCTCATCTCATCCAGGTCCCGCGCGACGCCGCCGCCCCCGCCGGGCGCGCCGGGTGTGGTCACCGCGCTCGCAGGCCCCGCGGCGCACCGCGCACTGGCGTCCCTGTCGCGGTCGCTGCCCGGCGGCGCCGCGCTGTCGGCCTTCTCCGTCGGCCTCACGCGCTTCGTCGTGGCCAGTCAGCCGGACACGGCTCGGGAGCTCCTGGCCAGCGCCGCCTTCGCCGACCGCCCCGTCAAGGACGCAGCGCGCGGGCTTCTCTTCCACCGCGCCATGGGCTTCGCCCCCTCCGGCGACTACTGGCGCGCTCTGCGCCGCATCAGCTCCGCCTACCTCTTCAACCCGCGCAGCGTGTCCGCGACGGCGCCGCGCCGCGTCGCCATCGGCGAGCGCATGCTGCGGGACCTCTCCGCCGCCGCGGCCGGAGGCGGCGGTGGCGGCGGAGAGGTCGTCATGCGGCGCGTGCTCCACGCGGCCTCCCTGGACCACGTCATGGCTACCGTGTTCGGCGCGCGCTACGACGCCGACAACGCGGAGGGCGCGGTGCTGGAGGAGATGGTGAAGGAAGGGTACGACCTGCTCGGCTTGTTCAACTGGGGCGACCACCTGCCGTTGCTCAGGTGGCTGGACCTGCAAGGCGTCAGGAGGAGGTGCAGGAGCCTGGTGAGCAGGGTGAACGTGTTCGTGGCCAGGATCATCGAAGAGCACAGGCGGAAGAACAAGGACGACGACGCCAATGGTGAGTCGGCCGCCGGAGACTTCGTCGACGTCTTGCTGGGATTGGAGGGCGAGGAGAAGCTGTCGGACTCCGACATGATCGCTGTCCTCTGGGTAAGAAATACACACTTTTTTTTACGTTACCAAGAACAGCTGCTGAATTGTGACATTCATGAACATTGCATTTGTAACATCGATTTCGATCAGTTACGAAATGCATCATGCGTTTCATTTGTTTTTAAGTAAAATTTGTTCCTGCAAACAATAAATATAATACACAAACACACACAGGAGATGATCTTTCGAGGGACCGACACGGTGGCGATCCTGCTGGAGTGGGTGATGGCGCGGATGGTGCTGCACCCGGGGATCCAGTCCAAGACGCAGGCGGAGCTGGACGCCGTCGTGGCCTGCGACCGCGCAGTCTCCGACGCCGACGTGGCCCGGCTGCCCTACCTGCAGCGCGTCGTGAAGGAGACGCTCCGCGTGCACCCGCCCGGCCCGCTGCTCTCGTGGGCACGCCTCGCCGTGCACGACGCGGTGGTCGGAGGCCACCTCGTCCCCGGGGGCACCACGGCCATGGTCAACATGTGGGCCATCGCGCACGACCCCGCGGTGTGGGCGGACCCCTCCGCGTTCCGGCCCGAGCGGTTCGAGGAGGACGTGAGCGTGCTGGGCGGGGACCTCCGGCTCGCACCGTTCGGGGCCGGGCGGCGCGTGTGCCCCGGCAAGACGCTGGCGCTCGCCACCGTCCACCTCTGGCTCGCGCAGCTGCTGCACCGCTTCCAGTGGGCGCCGGCGGACGGCGGCGTCGACCTGGCGGAGCGCCTCGGGATGTCGCTGGAGATGGAGAAGCCCCTTGTGTGCAAGCCCACGCCCAGGTGGTGATCGCTGAAAGCACAAACTACGCATGGCTGGCGCTCGATTGAGTTCCATGCATAATTATATTATTAGCGTATCATTACGCCGCATAATTTGTTTTTCTGGTCGAGAGATGTGTTCAATCTGCATTTGTGGTTTTGTCTACGTTACTGTTTTTGTTGTTTGGGATTGGTAAGGAGTGTTCACAGTGCTCCACTGTTAGGAGTACCGGATATGTGATGAGAACTATGTGGAGAGAATGTTTCAGTAATATTACAATGTGTTTCTTACTGCATACTTGATATGTATCTTTTTCCATTTGTTTGAAATCGATTTTGTCAACGTGGAAAAGAATTTGATTTTTTTCTAAAAGGAGAGCATATTTCCATCATCTCATGTTTATGATATCATTGGTTGTGTCAATCTGACACTACTACAAAAAGCATTTGTAGGGGCGGCTAGTGATGGTTTGTAGAGGCGGCTCGGCCAGCCGCCCCTACGATACATTATCTATAAATCGTACATTTGTAGGGGCAGTTTTCAGACCGCCTTTACAAGGCGGCTAGTGTTATCAGCCGCCCCTACAAATGATTTGTAGGGGCAGCTGGTACTGCCCTATAATAACCTGAACCGCCCCTACAATATATTTTTTCCGTAAAAAAATCAAATTACCAACACATGCTCCCCAAATCATCCTGTGACGAGTAAAATACATGATAAAGTGTCCTAACAAACTTGACTGTAATATTGTGGCCCAAACAAGATTGTTTAGCCAAAAGTTTCTAAACATCTTTTATAGTATAAGAATCACAATAATAACAAACAGACTCATATTATGACAACAAAACATATATCTATATAAAAAAAGGCCAAGCAAGCACTCTAAGTGCTAACAAAACAAAAAGGCCAAGCAAGCACTCAAGAGCAAGCACTGACGTGGATCTTCCTGAAGGCCTTGCGCAGGCGGTACGGGACGTGGATCACAACAGCCTTCCTGCTCCCGGCAACATCCATCTGGCGTCACCCAATGTCCAAACCAAAAACCACAGGCTACTGCATCTCAACAGGCGACGATAGATAGTAGGAAGAAACGGTAACCTTACATAGCATTGTTGATGTACAGGTCCTTGAGGTCGCTCTTGAGCTCCTGGTTGCCGTTCTCCAGGTCGAAGAAAGCCTGCAGGTACAGCAAAAAATCAGCCGAAAACACACCCCGACACATGGGCAACCACACAGAGCACCAGTCCGAAGGAAAGGAAACACAACAGTGGGAGGAGAGAAGGAGGGGATTGGCACGCAGCTCATCTGGGCGACGGAGTCCTCGAACTCGGAGGGCTGAAGGCCCTGCAAAAATATAAATACTGCTATCACACATATATACTGTAATAGCAATGAAATGAACAATATGCACAATATATATTTCACAGTTGAACTACGGTACACACAAAAAAGGCTATAAGCAAAGAGTTGAGCATTTGTGCTGAAAACCAAGATTGAAAATCAAGCACTAGTGCAAAATTAGTGGCCTGCTGTGATGGGGCAACGGATGCAATAGTGACGTAAAGTAATGTAAAATGCAAGTATAAGAAAGGTTGAGTATTATTTTATATAGATACATAAGATGGAACTCTATTGAACATACACTGAATTAACTCAAAATGACGTAGAAATGAGTTCAGAGAACATTATGTACCTCTTCTAATGTCCAGCCACCCTTAGCTCTCCTTACAGAACCACATTGTAGCATGTCGGGTTGCAGGGATATTCACAATCTATTTCCTTCACCTCCCTCCGATCAAAGAACCAATCTCCCACAGCTTCGGCGGCCGTCTGCATCACAATTCAGATTCAGATACTATATTAATCACAAAAAGACTGACAAACCACCAACCCATCATCTATAGCATGTGTATGTATTGGTGACAGGCACAAAAGTACAATGGTGATGTTTATCACAGTTAGTAAAATGTAAAACCCCAGTTAAATCCGTGCCCATCTACATTTGTGACATATATAACGTAGATATGTGTTTACCTTGTTGTTGATTCTAGCAGCTGATGGTGAATGCCAAGCCAAAGCATTCATTGACTGACAGTGTATAAAGCAGGAGTCAATGAACATACCCCAGTCTCTTCTCTTCTTGAATTCATTTATAGCATCAAGCAGCGCTTTCCTAAAACCTGAAAATTTCTTATCCTCAGTATAGTGAGTTGCAAGATGCAGGCTTAAGTGAGACAAGTAAACAGAAGAGCCACATAAGATTCCATTACAACCTTGAAGAACGTCAAGCTGTTTTGAGCTACACTTGGTAATGTCTGTCCTGCAATTTTGCCATAGATTTTGAGGGTCAGAACCTTCTGGAGACAACACATGCTCTACCTGCAAAGGAAGATCGAAAAGTTTACAGTAAGAGTCATATTGATTTTTATGCACTAATGGACTGTTAAAATGGATACGTATAATGGCACCTGCCAAACATCATATGCTGGATTGAGTATAAACATCGGTGTGGTGATGCTTTTCGCAACTTCTTGTGGGAAGAAGCACTGGCAACAAGTAGGAGGAACTAATTAGCATACAACAGCTTGAATAGTGAAGAGAGTGATTACTTTAAAGAAAGGAAACGATAACTTAAGCAAATCAGGGGACAACCTGCCCCGGTTCCATATCTGAGCTGCAATGAGGGAACCTTTTACGCACATCCTGCAAGATAATAATACCATATAAAATGTCACTTATTGAATTGGGTTGGGTTGGGGTTGAGAGAGAGAGAGAGAGAGATACCTGCAGCCGAGCAACATCGTTATAGAAGCCCCGCATATATCTTCTTCCAGAAATGTCTTCTCTGCATAAGAAGGTAGAACCAATGATAACTTGCAGACAACACAAAATCACTGTGAAATTCTTCTTTTCCCGAATACGCATGAGAGCTGTGTATCATTGTATTAAGAAGAAGAAATGTATGAAGACGGCATTACACATCCATTTGTACTAATTAATAAATAAAGCTAAAGATTTGTAGCAACAGAGAGCTAGGGCTGCAACCAAGTCAAGTTCAAGCAAGCTAAAAATACACTTGGCTCTTCTTTATAGAAATATGTGAGCTCAGTTTCAGTTGAGTTGACGAAACGAAAGAACAGGCTTGTACTCGGGCAATAACAAACTTGAGCCATATATCAATTCTCAACCAAGTCTAAAAACCAATCAAAATAACAATATTTTAGATCAGATAGTGTTAGAAAATTTTAATATTAATTAGGCAAAAATGGTGGCAGAAAATACACAAATGTTGATAGATCATTCCAAATTCAACAAGGACAGGAATTTTTCTGTTCATAGAACTTGCTTTATGCATCCTCAAGTAAAAAGGTAATAGTTGTGACAAAGAGCTAATTTGAACATAAGTACAAAAACCGCAGGTGTCAGCGTAAAAGAAAAAAGTACTAAAACTCTCCGAGCCTCCGCTCGCCGCGTGGGGGTGGGGACCAGATCTAGGCCCGCCGAGGCCAGATCTGCCGCCGGCCACCAGCCAGCACCAGTGCGCTGCCTCGGTCGGGGCTCTGCGCCGCCGCAGTGGAGGCAAGGAGGAGGGCGGGGGTGGTGAGGAGGAGGTGGGATCTGTGCGGGGAAGGCGAGGAGGAGGGCGGGGGAGGTGAGGAGGAGGCCGGATCTGCGCGGGGAAGACGAGGAGGAGGGATGCTTTACAAACCGCAAAACCCCTAGATCGGGGAATCAGGGAGGATCGAGGCGGAATCAAAGGGGCGCCGCGAGCCAGAACCCTAGCTCCGGCCCCGCCGCCGCCTTGGGCGCCGCCTCAGCCTCCACCTCCTCCATGGCGTCCTCCGGCCTCAGCTGCATCCCGTCGCTCCGGGCGGGCCCCTCTCCGAGCCTCCGCTCGCCGCGTGGGGGTGGGGACCGGATCTAGGCCCGCCATGGCCGGATTTGCCGCAGGCCACCAGCCAGCACCCGTGCACTGCCTCGGCTGGGGCTCCGCGCCGCCGTAGTGGAGGCAAAGAGGAGGGCGGGGGAGGTGAGGAGGAGACGGGATCTGCGCAGGGAAGGCGAGGAGGAGGGCGGCGGAGGTGAGGAGGGCGTCGCAGAGGCGAGGAGGGAGCGAGCAGGTGGAGGCGGGGTGCGAGTGAGCAAGTGGAGGCGAGGAGGGAGCGAGCAGGTGGAGGCGGGCCGGGGTGGGTGCGAGCGAGCAGGTGACGCGAGGAGGCCTTTTATACGTGCATCATTTGTAGTGGGCGGCTGGTGATTGAGCTGTCTCTACAAATGACAACACCGGAGACGGTCGGTGAGTGAGTCGCCCCTACAAATTAGACCTATTTGTAGGGGCGGCTCATATCACCAGCAGCCCCTGCTGTTCCATTTGTAGGGGCGGCTGGTCACTGGAGGGAACAAAAAATTTATCCCGTTACTACAAACCGTTTTTCACGTAGTGTGAACGTGCATAGAAAAGTGTTCTTTTATCTGAAGAAAATCACTTGTGAAGACTATCTACTGTTTTGATCAGGAGAAAAGTGCAGTAGAGCTCCTTAATTTTGAAAAGTTACATTGCCAGGTCTCTAAACTTGCATTGAGTGCATAGTCTCATTTTTTTACGTTTGATGGCAAAGAACGACCAAGATATATCGCATAGCAGTGTTTGCAGTACGCTGCCATTTGCGCCAAAATAACAAGACTCACTGGACAAAGTGTTAGAGAATATTGGGATATGTCTAAATATTGTTAGAACTATCCATTTGTAATCTGGCCTTATCTTATTTTTAGTGTTAATAATTTGACCCATACTATTATAATTGTCCCGATTATAGGTTCTACAAGTTGATTTATTCAGGGATGAAACGAGTTTTCAACGATGATAATTCTCCAAACATGACATTTTTTACTACTAATTTAACCCAGCAAAATTATTATATTCTGATGTCCTCTCTGGACATTTTTGAGAAAAAAATACAATACATAAATATTATGTTTCAAATATAAACGATGATAGTCATCAATCTTTTAAAGTTCGACTGCAGATACTAGTCATCAAACTTTAAAAGTTCAACTCTAAGTAGTATGTCTGAAATGCTGTTTATGACTAAACGGAAAAAAAAGAGAGAAGAGCCCAGTTACCCCTCCGTTTTTTTTACATATAACATAGCTTTGTCCTAAGTCAATATTATCTTTACCATCCATTTTAAAAAATCTTTGTACTTTCACAACATATGATTTATATATTATGAAAGTATTTCTCATAGTGAATCTAAAATATAAATCTTATGTCATGATTCATGAACTTATATAACTTTTTTTTTTGAAATTCGGTGATCAAAGATATAAATGTTTGACTTAGGAGTTAGGACGACAAAGCTAATACGTCATGTAAAAATATAGAGGGAGTATTATGCACAGGAATTTAAAGCTATGTTGGGTTACCGTGGTGCACTGCAACTAGGGTGCACCAAGATATTGTTATTAAATTGACTAATACTTGCCATGTAACATGAGAAAATTTCATATCTTAATGAGTGGTGCACCACCATAAGTTTGATGATAGCTTCGCCCCTGGGAATTTTGATCAAATGTGTTCAGTATAGAAAACATAGTAAGCGGTATTTTCCATATAATTTTACAATCATTAAATGAATTCAAAACTTAAAATGGACCACTAAGTTTAAGCTATGTCATTAACTCAAACATCTATCATGACATCCCGTTCTTCAAACATCTTTTGTTTAAACATATTTTGATCTGTGATCTGATTTGATCGAGTTAGCCTGACATCATTATACATGGAGCCACTTTCAAAAAAAAAATCTCGAATACACAAAAGGCTTGTGTATCATTGTATTAAGATCGAGAGATAGTTTGATTACAACGACGTGCCACTAGGGGGGCAGATGAATTTACAAAGATTTTATCCCCACCTAGCGGACTCTGAACTAGGTGATTACTCGCCCACGAGACAACACCCCCGCGTCTATCCACTGGTCTACCAAGTGCCGATGTGCATGAGGATCTGCATAACCGTGGACGAGGCTTGGCGAAAGCACCTTTTCCATTCCTCTCCTTCCATAATTCCTAGGCCACAAGAGCGAACAATGAGTCCGCTCCTTTCCTCTTGCCACTTTCAAATTTTAAAAGCAACATATCATGTGACCTCACTCACGTCCTCTGAGAAAAAGGTTGGAGTTCAAATGTAGCGGCGGATCCTTTGGATTGTTTAAGCCCCTTCGGGTATCAAGTGCTGGATTATTATAACCCGTCTTAGGAAATAAGTGTCATACGGAGCGGATATTGTAGTCCGTAGAAGGAAAAGGGCACAAACTTTCCCAAGCCTACAATTATTCCGTCCGAGATTTGGAGAGTAAAGCAAGAGGCCACTAGAATTATAGTACCATGTTTTGGTTCTTATTCGCCAATCATTTGGTGCGTGATGCACTATATAGCTTTATAAAAAAAAACAAATACATGCATCACCAAAAGGCGATATGCATATATAGCTGGTAGTTTGGACAACGACCATCGACCACGTATGGTTGCTTTCCTTAAAGCAGGTTTGCATCCATGATCATCCAGAGATTTGAAGTCTATGAAGCTAGCTAGAAAACGAGCAAATCAAATCATCACCATTGCTTTGAGCATGCATTGCGAAGAAAGCAGCGTATCATCAGGCAAACTGCTTCTGCTTACAGAATCTCCTGATGATAGCATCGTCATATCCATAGCTGTATGCAAATCCTGCAGGCGATCTCGCATGCCATGTTTGTTCGCTTTTAGAAGCATTAGGTGGAAAGGCATCCATGCACGCATCAGGCATAAACTAACGGTGAGCAGCGAGCTCACGGCTCATGATGTGCCACTCATGTCACCTATGATATGAGGCACTGAGGATGCATGAGGCCGGCCGGGGGCTCATCTCATCGCGGGTGTGCCAAAGGTCTCTAGTCCAACTGGTTGGAGCGTCTTACCGGTACTTGTCTGGTCCTGTGTTCAACTCTTTGTGGGAGCAAATTTTAGGCTGAGGTTAAAAAAATCTCTTCGTCTGTCCCACGCCAAAGCACAGGTTTAAAGAACGCCCTGTTATCACAGGTGAGTTGGTGGAGGCCTGGAGACTGGAGTCTGTGCAGGTCGTTATCTCATCGCCTTCTGAATGATGTGGTCAATCATGCAGCAGAATATATATATGTATGCAGATGTAGGCGATATACTCTGCTCGAGGCAAAGGCAAGATCTTTTTTGTGGTAGACTGAAAGGACAGTTTACTGCTTCTAAGGCTTTGCTTTGCTTCCTGGCCTGATGTCATGGTGCGGTTTGCCTGGCTTTGCTTCTAAGGAGGGATTGGCATGAGAACTACAAGGCAAGAGCAGAAGATCAGCTGCAGTTTGAGTATATACACAGACTTACTTTTATTGGGTAGAAACAGCACCTAGGGCCTAATACAGAGCCATAAAAAAGCACTGAAGCAGAGTGAACAGAGAAAAGAGACAGTAGAAAAGCAAAACAAAGACCAGCTTAAACACCCACACAAACTAGACTTCTATGCTATACACAGATGTGTTCTTGGATTAAAATAGCAGCGAGGAGATACTTACTAATATTAAAACTCAAGCACTGTGAGGCAGAGTAAGCAGACAAAGAGGACAGTGGGAAGGCAAGTTTAAAAGATAGCTGAAATATGAACATATATCTATAATTATCTGCTAAAAGCCTAAAACAGATAATATCCATAGGAACAAACGCACACATGAAAGAGCATATTTATCTAGCCAACTACTGCATGGATGCAAAACATCGCTGTACACTATAGTCTTTTTTTTAAACCACAAGGGGTTGTGTGTGTGTGTGTGTGGGGACACAGATTCAGTGCCTTAGCTTCTTCAAGGCACCACGTACCTTAGCTCCTCATCTCTACCATACAGCATGCATCCAAGGGCCAAGAAAGGCTGCAAAGCTTCTTTCTCACAAGTAGTCAAGCAGCAGCAGCACAATGTTCACAAATACAAATTTATTTAACGAAGAAAGAGGGAGTTGTACTCCCAAATTATATATTTTTTACTGCTGCTAATACTACTCCTGCATACTCTTGCACAATTTATGAGTACTAACAATTTTGATATAGCTTACTTGCTAAACTAATAGATCTAGCAAAGTAATAGATGAAATAGCAACTTTAATTTTTTCCCTTCTCCAACAGTCTGGTGTAATAATATCCTAAATGATTTTACATTGGAAACCTCTTGTAATAGTTTTCTAAACGACTTTACATTGGGAACCGGAACTATTTTTAACAAACCAAACCTTTTTAATAATTTATTTGTGTCTCATCGTGTTCTCATCTAGAATCCATTATTTTCTTAATTTATTCATGCGTCTAATTTACTTTGGTCTTCCAAGAAAAACACAGGACGGGCTTGAGAAAAACGCCGGACGGGGAGCGGATACGGAGTTCCTCTTGAATGTATAAACTTATGAGTTGAAGATGATATTTAACAACTTTTAATTTTTTTAGGATGCCCTTTTATCAAACTGTTGGAGGGCACCTTTTTTGTTTTCTTTTAAAAAAAATGAAGCTAGCAAGTTATTTTACAAAACTTTTGAACATGCTCTTATTCTTCTTTTTGCTACCCTTTTGCGGAGGGGCGCGCGGCGCAGCATCCTCGGCGTGAGGGAATGGCTCTACGCGGGAAAGTCGCGTCTGTGCGCGTGACGCTGTGAAAATCTCCCGCCTGATGAAAATGGGAACCTGATCACTTGTGTCTGGCAGCCGTTGGATGGCAACTCTACGGTGGAGAGAGGCAGCTAAGGTACGTGGTGCCTCGAAGAAGCTACGGTACTGAATC